ATTTGTAGCTGGGCCTAGCTATACATGCTCGACTTGGGCCCTCCATGCATGTCTAAGCTGAGCCCGCCATACATGTCTGAGCTAGAGTCACCATGCATGTCTGAGCTAGACGCACCATGCATGCCTATGTCATAACCACCTGGCATTATAAACCCACGTTCTCTCTGATATTGTTCATGTAAACTGATTCTTGTGGTCATGTCCAGGTCATTATTATATTGTTCTTTTAGGTCATTATTATATTACTCTTCTGGATCATTCCTGCTTGATGACATATATAAACTAGCTATCTCATCATTCATTCTATGTTTGGCAATTTATTTACCTTTGTTAGCCTTAAGAAATGCTGCCGTCTGTTTTTTTACATTACTAAGGATACTACTGCATGCAGAAACATCTCCTTTAACCCCTGCCAAGTGTTGCTTGAACCTATGTACCCTACTACTTATCACTCTTTGGCAGTAATTATAAATAATTTTATCTTTTTGTTGGGATCAAGTCTGACCTCATGTTGCCATGCAAGGTCTTCTGCAGATCTTGACATGATTCAACTGTTGTAATATGTACAGTTCAACAAGAAAAATAATCACCATGTGTAGTGATAATATGTTGGGGTAGTTCATGTAATTATATTTGTTGTTATTTGTTATTGCAAAATACTTCTATTGACAATAATATTTTTGTACATATCAATTACAAACATACAAGATAATATAATACAAAATGCAAGCTCCAAACATGGCTACAACTCAATTATCAAAAACATACATTTTTTGCATTAAAAATTTAAAAATAAAATTGAAAAAATGCAAGATAATATAATTGTCATACATGCCACGATTTTTTTACAATGATATTCACTTTAATTCCTCACGATAATACAATTTAACAACATGTATTTTTTGCATTTAAAATTTTAAAAATGTAAAATACATTTTTAATGCAAAACTACATTAAAAATATAATACAGTTGCATTAGAAATATAATAACATGCATATTTTTGCATAAATATTCTATCAACATGCAATTTTTTCAACAAAAACTTTAACAATAAAAATTAAAAATATGGTTTAATACCTCATGATAATCATAATCAAAACCTGGTCACTATTTTCACATCTTTTCGGAAAATCACGATTTTTCAAAAAAAATCGATCATGTACTAAAAAAAAAACAAATAAAAACAATTCTTCACAGAGCAACCTAACATCAGTCATTCCAACTCAAAAATGCATTAACAACAAATTAAAAAAATACAGTTTTGCATTAAAAATATAATAACATGCATTTTTTTGCATAAATAATCTATCAACATACATTTTTTCAACAAAAAAGTTAACAATAAAAATTAAAATATGGTTTAATACCTCATGATAATCAAAATCTGGTCACTATTTTCACATCCTTTCGAAAAATTACGATTTTTTTAAAAAAATCGATCATGTATTAAAAAAAAAAACAAATAAAAACAATTCTTCACAGAGCCACCTAACATCAGTCATTCCAACTCAAAAATGCATTAACAACAAATTAAAAAAATACAGTTTTGCATTAAAAATATAATAACATA